CTTGAAAAGCCCTACTAGTGATTGAATACCCTAGAAAAATACCTTCATCACTTCGGGAGTCAAATTTGCCCAATGGCTTTCTATCTTTGAAAATGTAACACTTACTCCCAAAAGTTTTGAAGTATTTTACATTAGGTTTCAATCCCTTCCACAATTCATATGGAGTTTGTAAAGTGCCGGGCCTTAAATACACGCAATTTATGACATAAATAGCAGTATTTAGGGCTTCAGCCCAAAACGTTGGAGGAAGTTTCTTACTAAGGAGCATGACCCTAGCCATTTCTTGAAGAACTCTGTTCTTCCTCTCAACCACTCCATTTTGTTGAGTAATAGGTGCAGAAAATTCATGCTTAATTCCATGCATATCACAAAAATCCGAAAACGAGCTGTTTTCAAATTCACGACCATGATCAGTTCGAATTCTTATGATACGCCCAATGGAAACACCCTGTTCATTTTGGATTTTAAGGACTAAGGCCTAGAAAGCATCAAACGTATCAGATTTTTCCCTTAAAAAATTTGCCCACGAAAATCGAGTAAAATCATCAACAGATAAAAAAATATATCTTTTACCTCCAATGCTTTCAGTGCGAGTAGGACCCATTAAATCCATGTGAACCAATTCAAGAGGACGTTTGGTTGTAAAGCTGTTCACCTTTTTATGAGGGGCACGTGTTTGCTTTCCAAGTTGACATGGTCCACACACATGGTTCAGATTCTTACCCAGTTTAGGTACTCCTCTCACAAGCTCTTTGTTGGCTATCTTAGTTAGGTCTTTGAAATTCATGTGACCTAATCTTTGATGCCACAAATCAATGTTACTTATGATGGCAGAGTGACAAGTGAGATCATTAGTAGTAACAATCCCATAGCAGTTATCAGATGTGCGAACCTCATGCAAGACAGTTTTTTCCTTTTTATTTAAAATTTCACATTTATTTTTTGAAAACAATACTTCATGGTGGGAATCACACATTTGACTAATGCTCAAAAGATTTGCTTTAAGACCATCAACCAGTAGAGTATTTTCCAGCTTGGGAAGACCAGCAACACTTATAGAGCCCTTACCAATGACTCTAGAGGTGCCGCCATCTCCAAAGGTAACAATTCCTCCTTCATATTTTTCAAGGGAGGTGAAGTAGGATTTGTTACCGGACATGTGACGAGAGCACCCACTATCAAGATACCACATGTGTGAGTCACATGCTTTTAGAGCAGTGTGAACAACTAAACAAGTCAAATCATCTTTTCTCAACCAAATCTTTTTGATCTTAACAAAATCAGGTCTAGCGGTCTTGGTAAATGTCTTGGCGTTGTGAACACCATCATGAATCTTGGTATTCCGCCTAGACATGTAAGGTTGTCTCCTAACCCAAAAAGTATTCAAATTTCTACCCTTTGGAGACACCTTACCAAACAATTCAAAGCAATAAGGACGAATGTGGCCATACCTACCACAGTGATGACAAATAAAAACAGGTTTTACCTCTCTTTTGTTGATCTTTCCCCTTTTAGGTAGATGAAGAGAGGGATCACCCTGATCTACCTTTAACTTTCCCTTTGCTTGAGTCTTCAGGTCATGTGATGTAGAGGCCTGTCCCTTGTGAGTTGTTGCACCATAGCCTAGCCCACTTTTGTCACAACCCATTTGTTGAGACCCGAGAATGTCTTCTAATGATTTGGAACCTTTGTTCCACATGGCAATTGTGGCTCTAGCAATTCGGAGTTCTTCATCTTTTTGACAAACTACCTCTTCCAATGTAGCTTGTGACATCTCAAGGCTTTCAAGCTTCTCTTCATATGTGGAATACACTTTCAGAAGTTCATTCCTTTCAGTTTCACAGGATAGAAGTTTTCCACATAGGTCTTGCCTGTCACTTGAGATCTTGATGACATTTTGCTTTGCTGCTACAAGTTCTCCTTTTAGTTTGACATTCTCGCTTTCATATGCTTTGAGCTTGAGAGTGAGTTTGTCATTGATTTTAGACAGATTCAGAGATTCATCATAAAGCTTTTCGTAAGCTTGTTGTAGATCATCACCAGTAATCTCATCATTGTCTTCTGATGTTTCATCATCATCTTTTTACTCCTCATTCTCTTTGACCTCATCCAGTCTAGCAACTAAGGCAGGAAAGGTGATAGATGGCGGTGAAGATGAATCTCCTCTTTCATGAAATTGGCTCAGAATTTCCCATGCATCTTTAGCCTTTGTGCAGTGAGCAACCCGTTGCTGTTCTTCATTAGAAATTGCTCCACGAATAGTAACCAGGACTCTCTGATTGCTTGGATTGTCAACACTTTCAACATCCTCTTCAATGACTTGCCAGCCTTCTGGATCAAAAGCTCTCAGAAACGCCCTCATTCTAATCTTTCAATACAAGTAGTTACTCCCATCAAAGGTGGGAGCATGATGCAGGTTCTGATCACGAGCTAATTCCGTTGGCTTTGGAAGAGGTTGAGTGAAAGTGGACCAAAATGCCATGAAAGCACTATCCCCGTCTTCACCGGATTCAGGTTCTTCGGGTTCTTGCTCCGAACCGCTTTCATCATCCCAAGTCACTGTGTAGGCTTTCTTTCGATTCTTTTTCGAAGGACATTCAAGGGCAATATGGCCAAACCCTTGACATTCATAACACATGACCCCTTGCCCCTTTACAATCTTCTTTTCAGTTTTTGAAGCAAGTTTTGATGGAAAAGTTTTGGGTTTTTCATTACTCTTGTCTTTTGAAATAGGGTCTCTGAAATTAGGCTTCTTTTTCTTCAAGAATTTTTTAAACTACTTAGTGAACATAGCCGTCATCTCAGACTCTAAGTCAAACTCAATCTCCGGAGTTTTTGTAGTCTCATGAGCACTAGTGAAAGCCACACTATCTTTTTGTTTTTTCTTAGAAATCTGGTGGGCTTCATAAGTCTGCAAGTTCCCAACCAACTGATCAAGCTTTGAGGGTATCAACATTCTGAGCCTCCTCAATGGCTGTCACTTTTGATTGGAACCTCTCGGGTAAAGACCTCAAAATTTTTCCAACAACTTTAGCTTCAGGGATTTTTTCACCTAGTGTGAAACAGTAATTCACGATGTCACTAAGTTTTGCATAGAAATCATCAAACGTCTTATCATCACGCATAAAAAGGGTTTCAAAGGCAGAGGTGAGACGTTGAAGTTTTGACCTTTTGACAGAAGTAGTACCTTCGTGAATTGTTTCAAGAATGTCCCAAGCCTCTTTTGCTACCTCACACATGTAGATACGACGAAATTCTTCAGGTGTGACGGAGCAAAAAACGGAATTGAGAGCCTTGCTGTTCCAACTCGAGTTTTGATAATCGGTTGTGTCCAATTTATCAAGGGATTTGGGAATCTCAACACCATCAATGGTGACAGTAGGTTCACTCCACCCATAAAGCACACAGTGCCAAACTTTCTCATCGATGGATTTTAGAAACACTTTTATACGAGCTTTCCAATAAGAATAGTTTGTACCATCAAGTAACGGAGGTCTATGGGTCGAGTTACCTTCACGAATTGAATCCATATCACCAATCACACAAAATCACACTCCTATAGTTTTGATAAAAAACAAAGAGTGAGCTGCTCTGATACCAATTGAAAATCCTAAGTGATTCGTGATTAGGTCAAGATTAAATAAATTAATTCCCAATCATTCAAAACACACAATCTAAATCATCAAGCACTTACGAAAGTGATTTAGGTTGTTTTCGAAATAAACAATAAATCGACACAAACGATTTTTACGTGAAAAAATCACAATTGAAGAACCTTCAATTGTAATACAAAACCACAGGCGAAACGCTACTGATCAATCCACTACTGAAGCAAGAAAGATTACAAAGATAACAAACAAATTACCCAACTCCAATTTGTCTTCAAACCTTCTGTAGCTCTTTCACCAAGCCTTCGTCTCGGAACTGATTAATCTGAAGTTGAATCCACAACTTCACTTGTCGAATCAACGACTACGTACAGAATCAAACTCCTTTGAAACTCCACGTTTGAATCTTCAGAATCCACCGAAGAAGAATACTCTTGAATATGAAGTAACAAACTCCTTGATGTATGCATCTTAGATCATAAGTTTAGAACTCACTCAAATCATCAAGGAAAACTCAACAAGACTTTCAGAAGAAAACCTCAAACAAAACCCTAAGACTCTTAAACAAGATCTAGGAAAAGTAAACACTAAAATCAACCTAAACAGATATATATAGAAAACAGAGGTCGCGATCTCCGCTCAAGCGCAGGACATCCCGCTCGAGCGGCTTCAGTAAAATACGCGTGTGACCAAACAGGTTTCCGCTCGAGCGCTGGAACACACGCTTGAGCGAGAAATCACACTTCTCAGTATCTTTACAGACACGACCAACTACTGAGATAGCACATAGAACGCTCGAGCACCAATGGTCCCGCTCGAGCGGGAAAGTCAAAAAACAAAGAAAAAATTACAACTTTTCAAAACAGAGTTTGTACGAGGATTTGACAATAAAGGGACCTAACAATTAGTTTTTCCATTAACAAGGACTGGTAAAATGAACATCAACAATACCCTATTTCGAACTCCATTTTAAGCAATTCTAGGAAGACTGATGAAATTTGAAGCAATTCTAATACCTTACTTTTCAATTAAGAAAAAATTAAGTTGTGTTTTTTTTTTTTTTTTTTTTAAAGTTAGAAAATTAAGTTGTGTTTGAATTATGAATTTGTGGATAAAAACAAAAAGGGAAGGGAAAAATTCATTATTCACTTTTCCCTGCCGTTTTATTTTATTTCCACAAATCTATGATCCAACCACAACCTTAAATCTCCAAATGGAGGTTTAAAGAATTGTTATGGTGAGTTTACAAGCCACTGACCCTATTATTCTCAACTCCATCTTAAAAACAGAATTAAAAAGAAAAGCTAACTATGTATGTGGATAACAAAAAAACATTCATCCCTAGCTTTTCTAAATTCTGAAATGCTTTTTTTTTTTTTTCCCCTTATGTAGGCAATTTATGTCATCAATTCTAAGTGGTGACAAGACCGGCAGGTTGATGAAATATGACAAATCAAGCAAAGAAGTAACAATCCTACTAAGAGGCCTTGCTTTTGCCAATGGTGTAGCCTTGAGCACAGACCACTCCTTCGTACTTGTAGCTGAAACCACTACTTGTAAGATCCTAAGGCTTTGGCTCCATGGCCCTAATGCCGGAAATTCTGACATTTTTGCTGAGCTACCGGGTTTTCCAGACAATGTGAGAAGGAACTCAAAGGGTGAGTTTTGGGTAGCTTTGCATTCCAAAAAAGGACTTCTTGCAGATTGGGTTGTTTCAAATACATGGGTTGGGAAATCACTTTTAAAGCTTCCACTTAGCTTCAAGCAACTACACTACTTGTTAGTCGGAGGAAAGCCACATGCAACTGCAATAAAGTTGAGTGAGAAAGGAGAGATTTTGGAGGTCTTGGAAGATAGTGAAGGAAAGAGCTTGAGGTTTATTAGTGAAGTGGAGGAAAAAAATGGCAAGTTGTGGATTGGGTCAGTGATGATGCCTTTCATTGGCTTTTACAATCGGTAATGAAGATGTACTCAAATGTAACAAGTTGGTTATGACTATATTAGATTATGAATTTGGATAGTGATTTGAAGAGAAAAAGTTGTGAGAAATAAACTAATTTATATTTCATTCACATTTTTCTAAGTACTTACTTAAATTTATGATCCAAACATAGATTATAAATTTTCTTTTTCTTGTTGGCATGTTATGTATGGTAAATTAGTTACTTTGTATTTTGCTAAAATTCAAACTTGTCCAAGTTGTAAAGTTTTCGTTATATAATTATTAGAACTAACAATCATTTGGAAAGGGATATATTTCACTTACCAAAGTTGTGTTTGAATAATGAATTTATGTTGGCATTTCAAGAATAAAGAAAAAATGTAAATGAAAGGTGAATGGTATTATATTTCACTCAGCTTTTTATTCTCTTTCCAAATTCCTATACAAATTCATGATTCAAATACAGTCTAAATGTTTAGGAATGTATCAATTATCTCATTATGTTCCAAATTATTCAAGCATCTCCATGATGTTAAGGAATGTATCAATTATCTCCTTATGTTCCAAATTATTCAAGTACCTCCATGATGTTAAGACCATTCTAGGGTGGTAAATTGTCAAAATAGCGTGATAAAGTCAATTTTTTTTTTTTTTTGGACATTTTAGAGCATCTTCAATATATTAGCTATAAATTTTGTTATACTTATAATATACCAACTGGTGCAAAAAATGAACTACAAGTAGGAATGGCAACGAATCAGGGTCAGGCTGGGAATTACACTCCTCGTCCCCGATCCCTGAATGTAAAAAACTCCACGTCCCTGCCCTCGGTCCCCAGCGAGGAACCCATCACCCTATAAACACTTCATTTTTTACCGCCATTAATATTTGGACACCTCAAGTTGAACGCTCGATGATGATAATGTTACACTATGCAATTGTTCAAATCTTCAACAAAAGGCTTCGGTTTTGAGCTTCAAATTCCAACCTCACAATCCATTTTGACCAAAACTATTCTGACGTGAGAACCTGTTTTTCTATAAATACAAGACCCCCCCCCCCTCTCTCATGGTTTGGGGTTAGAAAAAATTGTCAAGTGTCTATAGGTACTCTACCTCTCCCTCCTCTTGCAATATACATACACTATCCATACACTTCCTAAGCCTAAACTTGAGGCCTCTTGCTGAGATCCTTGAACACAAATTTCAACTCTTGAGAGTGCTCAACTTGTGGTTTGTGAACTAGAAGATCATCCTCTCTTTAAAGGGTAATATTTGAGCTTTTGTACCATCTTTTTCTATCTCTTTTCTTTGCTTTTTCACACTGTTTTTTGTTATACCCACAAAGGGTGTGTGTAAATTAATTGTGTAAATAAAATAAACAATATAATAAAAAATTTAGAAAATAATTATATAAATTATTTCCCGAATTAAATGCTTACAGAAATTAATGTCGAGGCTTATATTGCACACAATCTCCTTAAAGTAGATTTCGCCCTCGCTCCGGTGCTTTGAGTTATAATGGCGTCTACTTCCTAGGATGCAACGATTAACACTTGAATTTTGCAGCACTACAAAACCAAGCCTTGCGAACCAAAATTATGTTGTAACTCTTTCTTTTCCTTCCTAAAAATAAATGCAAAAAAAATGCAGAAAGACAAGAGGACGACTCGAAGGAGAAAGGAAGAAATGCTCTCAAAAAACTTGATCCAAAGAATTGCTGGATGGCCAACTATTTATAGAAATGGAAGTGACTTTTCCGAACAGGTGCCAACATATACGAACTTGTTCGGACATATTCAATAACCAAAAACCTAACCTGTTTGGACTGTTTGAACAGATATGTTCGGACTGTTTAAACAGATATAAATCTGTTCGGTTTTGGAATGAATAGGTATGAACCTGTTCAAGTTAGGAACTGTTTGGGTGGAAAAAATCTGGACCAACTTCCTTTTGAATTTTGAAATCAAAAAATAAATAAATAAATAAATAAAATAAAAAAGTTATTGGTCCAAAAAGATAAGTATTGGGCCGGACAAGCCCAACCCAACCTTACGCCGCGCACTCGTGCCCAAGCCTATGCCTAGCCCAGCCCGCCTGACTTACCGGACGGACGGCGGCAGCGGCGCGCACGTGTGGTTTTAATTTTGGATCCAATGGGTCTAGCCCACTTTACCCATAACCTCACCCTTCCATAAACTTGGGTACCCCTTGGGGCCCATCCCAAGTATCCAATGCTAAGGTTTATAAACCCAAACAATTCCTCAAGCCTTTCCAATGTGGGATAAACACATTTCACAAATGTGTAGTAAATCCACCAAAATACATTTCCACGAACCCGAAAATGCGCATTGAATTCTCATTCATTCGGAAATGGTTTTGAGTAACCAAATACACGGTTTTATTCACTACGTGACATTAACACATGAATCCAATAAAAAATGTTTAAAATAACGCTTGGGTCCCACCTTAATTAATGCTCAAAGTTAGCAAAAAATAAGGCTATACAAAAGCCATTTTTCAACAATCCCCCACATGAATAGAATTCACGATAACGGACATGCAACAAGATGTAGACAAAGAAAGAGTGCATTAAGAAGATACACTACATCGGGATAGGTAGCTTTTGGCTTTGAACCTCCTCTAGTGAAAGCCTATCGGACTTACTGAGTAACCAGTGGACGCGATGCCTTGAACTGTTCAGCTGTTTTATAAGCCAAGACAATAAACTACACATAGTGTATCTACAGACACAGTTTGGTTCTTACAGTTGTGTTCATTTTGGCCTTGAATACCGCCTGGTAATTTATGAGTGCTCTAGAGAATTTAGCCTTCTCAATTCTCACAGAACCGGCCCAGTTCACACTCATGTAGGTGATTTCTTATTAAGAGTATCCTGCTATGCCCCACTTGGATGTCCAAGTTATAAGAATCATTAAAAGCAAAGCTTATCCTACTAACGCTGCAGGTATCACTCTTCTTATCATAGAAATGGGTAGGAGTAAACCTCCTTAGTGATACGTGAAGTCATCCATAATTCGGTTGTCCCTTTGAACCTAGATCTTGGGATCTCCAGTCAACTAGGTTGGGTTGCCATTATGACGACTTTTAAGTAATAGGCCCTAATCCCATTCCCCTCGATAAATAGTACACTTGCTCTCTGGCTAGCCCTTTAGTCAATAGATCCGCAATATTCTCCTTTGACTTTACATATTCTATGGAAATTATTCCATGTGAGAGAAAATGCCTAATGGTATTATGTCTTCGACGAATGTGTCAAAACTTACCGTTATACATATGATTTTGTTCCCATCCTATTGCTGCTTCATTATCATAGTGAATGCATATAACTGGCACAGGTTTAGGCAACATTAGAAAGTCTTATAAGAAATTACGAAGCCATTATGCTTCTTCTCCTATTTTATCTAATGCGATAAACTCAGATTCCATTGTCGATCTTGCTATGCATGTCTGCTTGGAAGATTTCCAAGAGACTGCAGCACCTCCCATGGTAAAGACGTATCCACTAGTGGATTTTGAGTTTTTAGTATCCGATATCCAATTTGCATCGCTATACCCCTCGAGTACTGCCGGATATTTGGTATAATGAATGTCGTAACTCTGGGTTTGTCTTAGATATCTAACTACCCTAATTATCGCTTTCCACTGATCAGACCCTAGATTACTTGTGTACCTACTCAATTTACTTACAGCATAGGCTATAGCTGGCCTAGTGCAATTCATTAAGTACATCAAGCTTCCAATTATCCGAAAGTACTCTAATTGTGATATGCCTTCACTTGTATTTTTTGACAAATGAAGACTAATGTCAACAGGTGTTTTAGCAGGACAGTCGTCATGCTTTCTAAATTTTTCCAGAATCTTCTCAACATAGTGAGACTGAGATAAAGCATATCTTTCAGATGTTCTAGTAATTTTTATTTCTAGAATTACATCTACTATTCCCAGATCTTTCATGTCAAATTTTTTGTTCAACATTTTCTTTGTGGATTTAACCATGTCATTATTGCTTCCAATAATGAGCATGTCATCTACATAAAGACAAACTATGACATAGCCTTTGTCTGTGCTTTTAACATAGACATATTTGTCACATTTGTTTATCTTAAAACCATCCAAAAGCATCGCGTGATCAAATTTTTCATGCCATTGTTTCGGAGCTTGTTTTAATCCATAAAGGGATTTGACAAGTTTACAAACCTTTTTCTCTTGGCCAAGAACTTGAAACCCTTCTGGTTGTTCCATATAGATTTCCTTATCTAACTCGCCATTCAAAAAAGCTGTTTTAATATCCATTTGATGTATTTCCAGATTATACAAAGCTGCAATCGCAATCAACACACGAATAGATGTTATTCTTGTCACTGGTGAATAGGTGTCAAAATAATCAAGGCCTTCCTTCTGCCTGTATCCCTTAACAACAAGCCTAGCCTTGTATTTATCTATTGAACTGTCTGCTTTCATTTTTCTCTTGAATATCCACTTATATCCAAGAGGTTTACATCCTGGTGGAAGATCCACCAGTTTCCAAGTATGATTTTGCAGTATTGATTCAATTTCACTATTCACAATCTTTCTCCATAATGACATTGCTTCCTTGAAGTTTTTAGGCTCATTTTCTAACAGGTATGTCAGAAAATCTGGACCAAATGATTTAGAGATCCTAGCCCTCTTGCTACGTCTAGGTTCATCTACGTCATTATCATTTTGGTCTTCACTACTACCCATAGCAGTATCCAAAGTTATTTTATTTGAACTTTTCTCTTCATTTCCTTGCAAGGAAAAATGTGTTCAAAAAATGATGCATTCCTTGACTCAATAATAGTGTTTACATGCATATTAGAATTTTTAGATCTATGAACTAAAAATCTATATACACTACTATTATTTACATATCCAATGAACACATAATCAACAGTCTTTGGTCCTATCTTAGTCATTTTGGGTCTAGGGACTGCAACCTTGGCCAAACACCCCCACACTTTGAGGTAATTATAAGTAGGTCGTTGACCTTTCCATAATTCATAAGGTGTTTGATTGAGTTTCTTGTGGGGTACCCTGTTAAGGATATAGTTAGCAGACAAAATTGCCTTCCCCCACAAGTTCTGAGGTAACCCTGAACTAATCAACATGGCATTCATCATCTCTTTCAGAGATTGATTCTTTCTCTTAGCAACTTCATTTG